GCAGACAACACACACAAACACACTCGATTTCCACACACAAATCCCAAACAAAGTCCCCAGCCAGCACCAGCCGTAACCTGTTATAAAATTTACACAGTGTTAATGCAGCAAAGAGGTTTGGTTTGAAATGATCCTGGCTAATTCATAGATTTTTTTCCTAATCCATCAGCCACCCTGCAACAGCCCACCCATGTGAGGAGTAATAGCAATGGGTGAGCAGTAATATTGATTTACGTGTTTGCATCAGGTCATATTTCCTTTAAAAGCAAAAAAAAAAAGGGAGTTCTCCAAGTACTTTCACAAGTGGATTTGAAATTTGTGCTCATTTCCAAACTTGGCAAAGCTTCACCAAATAAACAAACTGAAAATAATGGAAGGTCTTGCAAGAACAATGAGGCAATCATGTTTTTCACACTCCACAGGATGTACCTCCCCTGGCTCAAACCAGCYTTGTGCTCTCACTGTCACTGCAAGGAAAGGCCTTTCAAAGGCATCCACCAGTTTATTTCTCTCCTTGGGACCTGCAGAGATAAGTGAAATTATCTTGATCTTCTGCAGTGTTTAGGATTTATAATCTTAACATCCTTCCACACAGCCATTGTTGTCGTGTGAGTGATGAGCAGGAGCCTCTTAGCTGCTCTCTGCTTCACCCCAGGCTCCTGATGTGCCAAATTCCGGGAATTATGAAATGACAATGCACTCATCAGATAATGCTGGAAAACAACAGCSACTTCCCCAGACTCCTCGCACACCCAAGTGCTCAGATCCAGGCAGATCTTTCCTTTGTTGAACCAAAAATCTGACTATTCTTAAAAWTAMAAYTAATTTAAAAGTAATTTTGAGRATTTTWAAGTTTCATCACTAACWGAACTAACCACAGAACAAATGASAGYGCWGCAGGAAACTGTACTTTGATATCAAAATCTTTCTCTGATCTGACATGCATCAGGGAGGAGGTCTCTGCCCTGTTTCCTGCCTCAAATCCCATGGAAATGGAAATTGCAGTTCTGATCTCTCCTGCTCAGCCCCAGACTCCAATTCCTTTTTACCCAAGCAGGAAATTGAGGCAGTATTGGCTCTGCATGGATCAGGGACTAAAAAAAAAAGAGAAGGGGCTAAATTATGATTTAAGGAATTTAGGAAACAAAGGGCTCTTCTCAATTATCACAGACACCCTCATAATTTTAGGTGCCTCTTGCCCTATTTCCTGCCTGCAGCCAGGAAATGCCAAGCTGCTCAGAAATGTGGATTTTGCAAGGCACARAAATTCTCAGACACTGAACCAACACTGCCTAAAACCAACCCAGTTCTGTGCCTGGAGCATGTGACCCGACACACTTCCCACATGATGGGCATGTACAGTCAGTGTTTGCTCTCAGAGAGATATTTTTGGAGGACTAAAGCAAGACAGGTCAAAAATCACATGCTCTGGATTCAGAGCATTCAATTCCTGGTGATGCAGCCTCTCCTTGCAAGTTCTCTCACCAGGACACAAAGTTTTCCAGCAAACTCTTACACAGTTACCGTGCCCACCACGGGAATAAACAYTCTTTGGATGGACTCAAATATCAGCAGGGGAACAGCCACGAGCAGAGGGACAYTGGGAGGATAAAATAAACTCTGATTACATTTTAGGGGTGCTGCCATCCACTCAGCAGGTTGGGGCTCTGCTGCCGTTCTGGGACACCACTGAATTCTTGTATCAAAGAAGTGAAGTTTTTCCTGTGACACCTTCTAGGAAGAGTGACAGAAACTGCTCAGRTGCTTCACAAACTCACAACTCTCTGCACAGGAGTTGATCTAAAAAATAAAATGAAAGCGTAAATATTTCAATTTACTCAATATTCACAATTACTAGGCCCYGCTTCAAGGATCACTTTTAAATCCCACAGACTCTAAAAAGAATCCCACACTCAGCAATAWAGGGGTTCCAGCTTACTGATCCATGCTGGGAAGAATCAGTGAGCTGGCACTCAATGCCAGGACAGAAAATCACAATGAACCCGTGCTGGTCACCTTCTCCTGTCACAGACTGTCCTGGGGCACATGGAACACGACGCAGGGAGTGCAGACTTTCCAAACTGAATATGGAACAGCAGATCCTCCCCTGGGAGGGTGAGGGGCCCTGGCACAGGGTGCCCAGAGAAGCTGTGGCTGYCCCTGATCCCTGGAAATGCCCAAGGCCAGGCTGGACAGRGCTTGGAGCAGCCTGGGACAGTGGAAGGGGTGGAATGGGATGAGTTTTAARGTCCCTTCCAACCCAAACCATTCTGATTCTGTGATTCCCCAGTCTGCATTTTGCACATGATGGCTACAAACAGGTTTGGACAATCCTTCCATAATTTTGGGGGCCAATTCGGTCTTTTCTGGGCATGATCCTTAGCTTAAAGAATTCCACCCCAAGGCACCTCCATGTCCTCACGCCGCTGTCACCCCCAGTGCTGTCACATTCGTGGTGGCCTCACCAGGACGTTAAAAATGTGAATAACTCTTGGTTTCGGAGAGTTTTCACCCCCTGTCCTTTAAAAAGAACGAGCACGGTGAGAAAGGTGCGGAAATCTCCGCATCCATCGGRCATTCCAGGGAGGATCCGCCAGGCTCGGGGCACTCCCCATTCCGGGAGGAGGGGCGGCAGCCGGGCCGATCCCCCGCAGCTAACGGGACCCTCCGGAGGGCTCCACACAAGGTTAGGGACAATGACAAATAAAGGTGAGCGCCGGGGATGAGCGGCGGGAGGAGGGGAAACGCCAACTCCTCTTACACCGCACCGGGCCCGAACGGAACCGCCCGGGACAGGAGCTGCTGGAGGCAGCCCGGCCTGGCCTTCCCCGGGAGCACCGAACGGCCGCGATTCACCCCGGGAACACGAACCCCCGGGCCCGGCGGGCAGTGACCGAGCGCCGCCGCACCTCCGGGCCCCGGGGCGGAGCTGCCGCCGCCTCAGGCCGAGGCCCGGGCCCCGCCGGCCGCCGGGCCGTGCCCCGCACTCACCGTGGTGCCCATGGCCGCGCCGGGCCCGGGCGGAGCGAGGCCCGGGCCGCCGGGCGCCCGCTCTGCGCATGTGCGGGGGCGGCTCCGGTTCCTCCGGTTCCGGCGGCGGCGGCGGGCGGGGAGCGGCGGCGGCGGCGCGTGGTGATGGCGTCATCGCTTCGCGCCGCTCCCCCGGCCGGAAGTGGCGGGGACGCGTTGCCAGGGCAACGGGGGCG